TTCTGTCTCCTGGCGGTCTACCCGCTCTTCTTCTGTTCTCAGCTCCAGTTGTGAGGCTGAGATCTACGCTGGGGCCATGGCTGCACAGGAGCTTCGCTGGCTCACCTACCTGCTGACCGACTTGGGAGAGGCGCCTCGTTCTCCTCCAGTTCTCTACGTCGACAACAAGGCCATGCTGGCCTTGTGTCAGGAGCACAGACTGGAGCACAGAACGAAGCACATTGCTCTGCGCTACTTCCTTGCTCGAGAGTTGCAGCAGCGTGGCCAGCTTCGTCTTGCTTACGTGGCCTCTCAGGCCAACACTGCTGATGTCTTCACCAAGGCACTTCAGCTTTGTGATCATCAGCGTTTCTGTACTGTGTTAGGCCTTGTACCTACTGTGCCTCACTTGTTGACTTCTTGACTCTGCTTGTACTGTACTCTATATACTTATACCTGTATGCTTACACTTGCTAGGTTGTGTTCACTGTATTGTTTGCTTTCCTTTATATAACTCTGCATGTGAACTGGCCTTGTGGCCATTTGCTTGTGCTGAGACTGTGTGGTGACTTTGTGATCCACCCTGAGTTTGCTTTGTCTTTCTTGACTGGTCTTGTGACCCCTTGTTCTCCCCCACTTTGCCTATGGGGGTGTGTCAAACATATATTTACTATAGTCGGTCTAGGCTGTAGTGGGGTAGTCCTTAGAGGGTACAACACTTATGTGTTTCCTACTTGTACCCCTCTCATTTCCTAATTCAATCATTCTTTCGTCTATCATTCTCACAAAATGAACCATATTCTTAGGCCTCTACTCGACGAATGCGTGGTGGTGTACCTGGACGACATCCTGATCTACTCGAAGGACATGAAGCAGCACATCGAACACCTACGACGTGTCTTCGAGATACTTCGACGGGAGAAGTTCTACGTCAAGCTATCCAAGAGCGAGTTTGCCTTGAAGAAAGTTCAGTTCCTTGGACACATGGTGAGCGCTCAAGGAGTCCACGTCGACCCAAAGAAGATCGAAGCCGTACGTACGTGGAAGACACCGGAGAACGTGAAGGAACTTCAGCAATTCCTTGGCTTTGTGAACTACTATAATCGGTTCGTGCCACAGTATGCGAAGATTGCGACACCTCTCACCAATCTACTGAAGAAGAATACACCGTTCAAGTGGGAGGATGTGCACCAGCAAGCCATGGAGCAGTTGAAGACCGCTCTCACGTCCGCACCCGTCCTGATCCTGCCAGATCCAGAAAAAGACTACGTCATCGAAGCTGACGCTAGCGACCAAGCAATTGGAGCAGTCTTGATGCAAGACCAATTGAAAGGACTACAACCAATCGCTTACCTCAGCAAGAAATTGCACGGGGCAGAACTCAACTACCCGATTCACGACAAAGAGGCCTTAGCGATCATCACCGCATTCAAGACATGGCGATGCTACCTCGAAGGGGGAAAGACCACGGTCTACACTGACCATTGCAGCCTGAAGTACCTAAAGACGCAGCCGACCCTCTCCAGACGACAAGTCAGGTGGATTGACTTCCTCGAGACGCACTTCGACTACGACATCGTGTACAAGCCGGGACACAAGAATAAGGCAGACGCACTGAGCCGGCCTAGACACGTTGCCGCCATACAGATTGAGGGGATGAATCTGCTACTCAAGGGACTCTTCACCCACGGGTATACCATCGACCCCGAGATTCCCTTAGCAGAGAAAAAGAAATTGTTGCAGTGGGACCACGACGTCGCACTACGCAAAGGATCAACAAAGATATGGGTACCCAACTACCCGCCTCTTCGGCAGTTGTTTCTCGAAGAATTCCATGACGTGCTCTACGCTGGACACTTCGGGAGTAACAAGACTCTTGCCGGGATTGCGAAAGTCTACTACTGGCCTCACGTGGCAAACGACGTGCAAAAGTTTGTCACTTCGTGCGACACGTGCCAGCGGATGAAAAGCAGTAAGCAGAAGAAAGCAAGACTTCTTCAGCCTTTACCCGTCCCGGAACAGCCTTGGCAAGTGGTCAGCTTGGATTTCATCACCGGTTTACCACCTACCAACGCGGGGCATGACGCCATCCTGGTCGTCATCGACAAATTCTCAAAGATGGGACACTTCATTCCGACACATACAACCGCACGCACGGAGGAAATGGCATAGCTATTCCTCAAACACATCATCTCACAGCACGGGATCCCAACAACCCTCATATCCGACAGGGACCCCAAGTTTACTAGCAAGTTCTGGAAAGAGCTCATGTCGCTCATGGGGACACGCCTAGCAATGTCATCTGCATATCATCCCCAGACCGATGGGCAGACAGAGCGCTTGAACCAAATTGTGGAACAACTCTTGCGCGCAGCGTGCAAGGACGACATTAACAAGTGGGACTTGCACTTGCCGGTGTTGGAGTTTGCCTACAATAATGCGAAGCATGCCGCAACAGGAGAGACCCCATTTTTCCTCTGTTACGGACGACATCCACTAACTCCACAACAGCCGACAGTACCTGCAACTGTCCAACCCGCGCACGACTTCGTTACAACAATGCAGCAGCTTTGGGATCGGACACACAAGCGTCTACAGGACATACAGTCTTCACAGAAACGCTTGGCCGATCGCCATCGACGTGATCATACCATTGCGGTTGGTGACCATGTGCTTCTCGACACATGCAACCTCAACCTCGGTCACCTTCCATCCAAGTTACGACCTCGCTTCTGCGGACCTTTCCTCGTAGAAGAGCAGGTCACTCCAGTCACATTCCGCTTGCGCCTACCAGCTTCTTGGAAGATTCATAACGCCTTCCACGTGCAGCTTCTTAAACCCTATCAAGATCCAAATAAGCAGTACACGGGACGCCAACCTCCGCCGCCGCCTCCAGTCCTCGTGAATGATGAACTTGAGTACGAGGTTGAATCTGTGCTTGCACATCGTCGTCGTCGGCATGGCGCCCTGGAGTTTCTCGTACGCTGGAAAGGCTATGATCCTTCTGAGGACAGCTGGGTCTCTGAAGAAGACATGAGTAACGCCTGACGTTCTCTCCGTGACAATCTTGTCAAGCAGGGTGTTACATCTACCACCCAGCTTTGAGGGGGGGAAGTGTGAGAGTACGCCGACGTTCGACATATTTCTCATTTCCATATTTTTACTCCATCTTATTCTCCTTATTTTCCTCTTTCATTTGCACTTTATTTCACCTCAATCGGACTACTATTCTATTTTCTAGAGCTTTCCGATTATTTCACTTATTTGGTATTTTCGGCACCGACATTTACATTATACGGCACCGACAGCACCGACAGTGGTGTACAAGGCGTAATCTCGCCATAATCCGAAGTGCCAATGGGCTTGCGTGCTTATGCGCACTTGTGATTATCTATTCTAGAAGAGCGCGTTCCCGAAGGTTCGGATTATCTGTTGTTTCTATGTATTTCTGAGTATAAATATGCCTTGTACTCACCTTTAGTGCAACATTCTCGAGTGGAAATTCGAGCCTGTGACACGGCGCCTCCCACTGGGAGCAGACGCAGTCCCGACCTCCTCAGTGCCAACAAGCCCGGTTTCGTGAACCGCACGAACCGCATCGCACTCCGTTACTTCTTCGTCAAAGACGAGATCGACAAGGGCAAGGTCAAACTCACGTATTGCCCAACTGGTGACATGGCAGCATATTTCTTGACCAAGAAGCTGTCACATCAGAAGTTTCAGCACTGCACCGACCTCTGCGGGATCTCGAAGAAATCCCACGTGGCTCACCTTCAGGAATGAAGGGGAGTGTTGGAATAGTCGAACGTTTAAGGTAACATTTCCAAAGGATCTCCACTCACGCGTCACTTCATAACGAAGCAACGCGTCTGTAGCAGTACCGCAATAGCTTATATAGAGCATGCGGACGATCGAGAGTCACCCGAAGGTCAACAGTCGAAGATAGTCAACGATCGTGACTCTTGACCGACCAGTAACCACACTTGGAAGTTACGCGATGCAACTTGGTAACTGTCGAGAAGAGCAATAGTCGTGGTTACTGTAGCAATGGAATTCAGTTAATAAAGGAATGTACCCCTCAGAGTACATGGCTAGCTAGGATTGCTATTTATATCTTTGTACCACTATCCTTTAATTATCTTGTTCTCTTTCTACTTATTAACGCTGTCATTACAAATACTTCATTGTCTTCTCTCAGACTTGACAGACTTATCCTATCCACCACTATCCTTCAATTATAACAACATTATCAGCAAACTTTGTTAGATGGTTACTTTCGCAGAACAAGGTCCGAGGAATTTTGGATATTTCACTTGTTTGGCGATTTTACACGCCCTAACGTTTCGTCAATTCCAGCCAGATCCCAGAATTCTTTCGAGTCGACCGACAACGAACGTCGGCGGTATGTGTAACAGTGCCTGCTCGTCCATCGGAGATCCATGTGGCGTGACTGCACAGCGCCTGATGTGCTGCTCGCTCATTCTTCCTTCCCGGACATGCTCCTCCCACAGCTCTCCCTCCCTCCCACCCAAGCTCATGGATCCAGCCCAGGCAGAACAACCACCCGAATCGCAGGACTAAAAACAGTACATTGGACGAAGCAACATGACAACAACCCGCGGTTCGAAGAATCAACCTCCCCTTCAGGAAGGCATGCGCCTACCCATTTGCCTAAACCCTGGCTTGACCAAGAAAATGTTGTAAGAACCGAGACTCAATTTTTTTCATTAATCGAGTACAGCTTTTCAATCCGCTGCAAAATTATGTGGTTCTGTTTAAAAACGTAATGATGAAAAGGGTAACGTTGGAAACAAATATGAAACTACTCCTGCTCGAAATTCGTCGCACAACTCATGCAATGCAATGCAACCATCCCATTGCTTGCAGGGCCTTGCTTGTGCGCCCTTTCGCTGTCCAGCCGAGCTGGGTCTTCCGAATCACACGCATTCAAGTTGCTTGCTTTCACTCCCTCCCCTCAGATTCCTGCACTCCACCCACTGAACTAAGTCCCATGCGGTTCCATGCGCCCTCTAACACCTCCCCGTACGCGGCGCCGCGCTAACTATGGGGTGTCCCGCGATACCGAATCCATTGCAACCGTTCCGTCACCAGCGCCTCCTCGAGCAGCTCCTGCCATGTCCCCGCATCTCCCCGCGCTCATCGCAACGCTGCTCTTCGCAAGCTTGATGATCCATGGGCCCGCACTATCCGCCGCGCAGCCCGCGTACTCCGCCGTGGGAGTTCCCACGGCGATCGTAGCGGGCGGCGTGTACAACCCGTTAACGGGCGACGTCTACAACCAGGCATGGCAGATCAACTCGCTTACGCAGCGCGAGACGGGCTACTCGTCGAATCCCGACGCGAACAACAACGCGGAGCTCACCTCGTGCGCGGTCTCCACGGACGGCAATGCCTTCACGTCGTCGGGCGACAAGTACGTCAACATGATTAAGTACACCACCAGCGGGCCGGTAGCGCTTCCGGCTTTGCCGCTCAACATCAACGTCACGACCGTCGCCCTGGGAGGACCGTCGGAGCGGCTTCTAGTCGTGGCGGACGGGACCGTCGCCGCTGGCGGCGCCGTCGGGATTCGGCGCGACACGCTGCAGTCGACGGTGCTGGTTGCGCCTGGGTGGCAGTGCATGTCGGCTAGCTTCTGCTCGTCGTTCGTGCTGCTGGCGTGCCACGACACGGCAACCGACGCCAACGTGCTCGTCACCGTCCCATTCGACGCCGTCACTGGCGCCTTCCAGACCGCTGCCAAGGCTTCTTTCGCCATCCCGTTCCCGCCGGCTCAGGCGGCATGTTCCCCGAACGGCGGATTCGTGGCTGCGTTGCGCATCGACGCGAAGACCGTGTTCACGTACAAGTTGCCTCTCGTCGCGCCGCTTACCGCGCTCTCCACGTCGCAACTAACCCCCGGAATGCCCGGCTCCATGGCCTTCGACGCTACCAATAGCGAGATTCTTGTAACGAGCGCTGCGGACTTTCCGGGCCTGCCCGGCGACGCGTACCTTGGCACGCTCGACACCGTCGGGTACACCGAAACGGGAGGCGCGGAGCCCGCGGCGCGGATAGGCGCGTTTCAGTACACCACCGCGTCGCCTGTGGGCGGCCAGGTCGCGGTGTACCCGAAGCCGACGGTTGGTTACGTGGCGTTGCCGGAGGGGCTTTACGTTGTGCGGCTCGTGCAGGACGGCGCGCTCGACTACGGCACCGCGTTCTTCGCCACGCTCGGCGCCGTGCAGGACGGGTGGAGCTACTTCGCCACCGCCGTCTGCGCGCAGCGATTCGTCGCCGCTCCGCCGCCCCCCAGCCCGCCGCCTCCTCCCCCCAGCCCTCCCCCCAAGCCCCCGAGCCCTCCGCCAAAGCCCCCTAGCCCCCCGCCCAGACCCCCCCCTCCCCCGAAGCCTCCGAGCCCTCCGCCAAAGCCCCCTAGCCCCCCGCCCAAACCTCCCTCTCCGCCTAAGCCGCCGAGTCCGCCCCCCAAGCCTCCCAGTCCACCCCCGAGGCCACCTCCCCCCCCGAAACCTCCCAGCCCGCCGCCTAAGCCGCCTCCATCGCCGCCAAAGCCTCCGAATCCTCCGCCGAAACCGCCCAGCCCGCCTCCGCCGAAGCCTCCGCCTCCGCCTCGCCCCCCTCCACCCAAGCCGCCAAGCCCGCCCAAGCCACCAAGCCCGCCTCCGCCACGTCCTCCGCCACCGAAGCCTCTGCTGACGAGCACTCTGGCGACGACGGCGTCTGTGCTGTCGGAGTGGACGGGCGGCGACGCTGGTGTGTTCGCCACCGTCGCCAGCGACGCTGACTCCGCTGTGGCGCGACACCCGCCCGCTAGGACTGCGCCCCGCGCGTACTATGGCGTCGCGCAGCCGCCACCAGGTGAGGACGGTGCCGCGGAGAACGGCAGTAGCGCGGGTAACGAAGTGGAAGACTAAGTACGGTTGACGAGGACGACGGTGTATGATTCTCTGTTTCGAACATCCGATCCTGCCGTACTGCTGCTGCTCGGTCTGTCGTTTTTCTTCTCTTTCTGTACTGATTTCGTCTCAACCGCACTTCGGAAGATGTTTAAAGATGCATTACTCACTCTCCCACTCGTCAACCCTCCAAATTCCTTCCCGCACATGCTTGTGGCGGTGCTTGGTGACGTGCTTGGCTGGTCCTATGGTTGGCGATGTGACAGAGCCGACGTCGTGCTACGTGGGCACGAACGCACTGTGTGCGTTTCAGCTGGACTGCCTGGACTTTGGCGCGAAGAGGGGATGCACGTGCATGAATGACATCATCCCGCAAGGGCAGTGTAGATGTGAGTCCTTGCAACACCGCACTTGCTCTTGCTTCTCACTATTATCCTTAACACTACATTTTAAAAACCTCGTACATTTCTACACGATGCCAACCATGTGTTACTTCCAGCATCTTCACATCCCGAACTTTCTCCCGCCCTTCTCCCCTTTCTTCCCCTCTCTTCTATTCCAGACGCCAGTGCATGTCTGGACACTACGGCGTGCCCAGTGGAGGCCACGTGCACCACCACACAGAGGGGCCGCACAGTGTGCGCTTGCCCTATTGGCTACCGGCCTTTGAAGCAGCGTGTGGGTGACATGGCTTTCAGCTACTGCGCTCGGTCGATCTGCAAGCGGAGCAATGCCTTTGTTGGCTTCAGCTGTGCTGTGCACGGTGAGAGCTAACCCTTCCTCCTTAGTAGTCGGTTCTTGTACTCCCCCCTCCTCATCCCTGCTGTCCTCTCCCGCGCACCCCCTTATCTCTCTCTCAACCGTGCTTGATCATTAAAAAAGGGTACTAAGGTGATGCCTGTGGAAGAGGGTATTTGGTTATGGATATCAGCTACATGTTAGCTGATGTTCGTTTTTCTCTCATGGTAAACCTATCCGTATTGGAAGTACCGGTAAGGTCACATCATGATCTCTTAATACGGTATCGCTCATGCTTGCGGGATGAATGACTCACATCCGTCAATCACTCTCATCCCTTCGCCTTGTTTCATCGTACCTTGAATATGGCCACATTCGCCATGCCATCATGCAGATGAGGCAGCTGCTGGAATGAGTTTATTCGGGTAGAAACTGCAGCATATGAGAAGCGGGCTTAATAATGCTGAATGCTTTATGTACCGGTATTTGATTTGTTGTGCACTGTGGGTGTAGGAAAGCCAAAGTGGGTGTTCGTTCCAGGTGGGAAAACATTGTGGCATATTCTATCTCAAACTTCTATTTGCTTTGCAACTGCCAGTTGAGCTTGGATTCTTGATTTGTCATGGGTGTATTCAATTGGTGCGAGTTATACGGTAAAAGACTGAGCTCCCTAGCCCTTCTACAAGTAAGAGAAAATCCATACACGTATATATTTTAAACCGTTTGATACCTTGCCAAGAAACCAGATACCAGAATCCTTCATATTAACGCAAGAGTGACATTTTCTGCATTTGTTAATACTTATTTAGCCTAAGTTAAGCCCCTAAAATTTACGCCAATGGGTTGGGCTGGGTTCAGTCGGGCCTAAGGTAAGCGAGCTTCAAGTATGCTGCACTGTAGTTCGTTTTGACCATGAATGGCATGGGCAGGAAAACATGGATGTAGGTTCGGTTCGGGGAATGGTATCAGGCGACGCGCTGGTATTCGCCAGGAAACTTTGCCATGTGTGCTCATTCGCTGGAAATTCCACGTATCTGGGGATGCTGACAAAGACAAGTTGAAGCAGATGCCTCGTCCTTCCATCTGGACCGTCCAAGCTGTACACGATTTGCCCTTGCGTCCAACGTTCGAGGAGCACTCCCTCAATGTCTGGTTGAGAATCCCCTGGTCGGTTGCAATTCCACCACAGGCCTGCAGAGGAGCAACGCCTTGGGATAGGTGCGTCTTTGAGGCGCGATTCTAGCTCGTCTTGACTTTCAGTCAAGTTCGCAAAACCATCCCCCCTGCTGCATCCATTGTGCATTCCCCCCACCTGCCCGCTCACTTCTCCCTTGGTCCCGCCCCTTCCCCCTGCCTTTCCTTTACAGTAATTATCAACCCCGCCCCCTCCCCCTTCCTTCCCTTCCGCCTTCCTCCTCCCCCTTTCCCCCTTCCGACCACAGTGCAATGCAAACGGTTTCCTCCATCACACGCACCATGCCCATTGCATGGGCCTTCCCCCCAGCTGCTGTCACTGCCACACCATCCGCACTCATGCTCTCTCACGGATTCCTAAACCACGCTTTCCTTCTTACATAAGCCTCTATTCCCAAGGCATTTCTACTGAGTTGGAGCTGGCAGCAAGACCCATTAACCCTTGCATACTGCGTTGAGATTCAACATTGTTGAAGACTTGGGAGTCTTCCTTCTCAACTATGTCATTCGGCAACGGAGTCCTTGCTAGGCCCACATGTAGCTCCCTCATTCAGGTTGAAAAAGGAGCCATCTTTACTCAACCTGCTGGAGATGTTGATGCCGCAAAGTCGCGCTCTCTTTTCTCCTATCAACGAGCTTTGCTTCTAAGCTCGCGTCAACGATCGATTCGCCATGTTTTGCGTCGCATCGAGACGAGGGCGAGGCTTGCGGTTGACGAACACACGCTTACGACAGTACAGAGGAAGGGCAATGACGAGCGGTCAATTGTGCTCGCCGCTCCTCCAAGTGCGTGGCACTCTCCTTAGAGGCTGAGCATTATGTCTTGATTCTGTGCAGACTTTCGCTTTCTACTTGACATGATTCACCATACCTCGCTGTCTCCCCCCATACTCTCAGGGTCCATCCAAGTGACCTTCACAATGGAGCGACGCTGCGAGTTCGGCGAGCATTACGCCGTGGTGGGGGAGGTTGACGAGCTCCGCTTATGGGATCCTACTAACGCGGTCGTGGCGCAGTGGTCGGAAGGCCACCATTGGAAGGTCGCGGTTGTAAGTCTCACTAGCCTTCCGACCTCAGGATCGTACTCGGCCTCATTCCTGCGTCGACTCTTATCTCACCCAATTTCCTCTTTTCTCACACCAATCTACACCCTCGCTGTTCTTTACGCTGCCGCATCATCCTGTCATCAACCAGGAACTCCCAGGAGATCGTTCGATCGAGTTCAAGTTTGTGTTACTCGGGCGACACGGCGAAATCTGGTGGCAGCCGGGTCGCAACCACGTGCTTGCGATGGCGGGCTTGGCGCGCAGCGTGGACGTGTACGTGCCGTGGGACACGGAGCAGCCGCTGGTGGTGGTTAACCACCCCGAGAATAGCACCAGCGACTGGAGCCTGAACGGCTCATTTACCGAGTTCAATGTCCAGGAGGCTGAGGCGGAGCTGGTTGCGGACGACGATTCGACAAGCCGCGGCGTCATGATGAACGGCCGCTCCAGTCCCAGCGTGATACTTAACGGCTATGTGGATTCTGACATGGAATCCTTCAACTATTCCGACTCTCGCATGGAATCCAACGGCTATTCCAACTCTGGCATGGAAGCCAATGGCTATTCCAACTCGAGCATAGAATTTCATCACTATTTCCATTCTCACACGGAAGCCAACGGTTACTCCCATCGAAGCGTGGAATCAGCAAGTCTTACGGCAAGCGATAGCATAGTCAATGGGAGCGAGATTGGAGGTTTTGATTCTGTCTCTCCAGCACAAGAGAACCAGGCCGTTCCGTTGATGGCAAAAACTGTGAATGGCGCAAGTGGCGGCAGCGTTCACAGTGGGGCAGCACGTGACGAGCAATTCTACAAGCTGGGCGGCAGCAGCCCCGCTGAAGCTGAGGAGGAAAGCTTTATGAAAGAGCAGAGGAAAGTGGCTGCTGAATCCATGGGCGCTAAGTCGTCCACACGCTCTGCAGGATTCAATGCTGCACGGACTTTCCCCACAAAGATGGATTCAGGGAAATTCAAAGGAGTGGACGAGGATGGAGAAGCAGCATTGGAGTATGTGCCTGCATCCAGTGGACAACGAATGTTCGCTGACATGGCAGGAAGCGTGGGGGCGGCGTATGAAGCGGTTTTTGCAGAGCACAATGAGGACGAGGTGAGTGCTTCTCACTAAGTTGCAGATTCTGCCTCTCGCCCGGTCCGATTAGTTCCTTACCCGTTGATCTTACCTCCATGTATTACGCCCCATTGCCTGATGCAGGTCGATTCATCCGTGGTTTTAAGTAAGGCATCGGCCAGTGGCAGTGGCAGCAAGGCTCAGCAACACACCACTGGAGGTCGTGTCAAGACTTCTCAGAAGATGGGGAGGCAGCGGAAATCAAACAGCAAGTACCTCTCAGGTGAAGCACTTTTCATGCGTTTTTTTTGCCACCACGGCGTTCCATTGCTGGATGGAAGTGATCCTTGACCCAGATTATCTCACGTTCTTTCCCCTGCGTTATTTCTCCTGTGCAGAGCTTTTCTTCAATGATGCACACGTCCCACTGCGCCGCTGGGCTGGGGAGCTCTACCTGGACAACCCTTCCAGCACTCCTACTGCAACTTCTCCCTTTGCCAGCCCTGCTCTCCGCTCCACAGCATCACCAACCCCATCTAGCTCCAAGCAAACGGCAGAAGCCTTCATGCCAAGTGCCTCCCATGGATCCCTTCCTCTCAATCTGACCACCAGTGGCGTCCCAGCCTCGCCCCATTTCGACCCTCGACCCACCAGTGGATCCTCCTTGACTGCAACCCTGGCACCACCTGCTCCAAGCCCTTTTGAAGGCCTTGGTGAGTTGGTGGAGCGAGGCTTGGGAAGGCTGTTCAGCCGCATGCAACATTCAGTGACACGTGCACGCATGTGGATGATCCTCATCCCCCTGCCGGTGCTCTCCACTCCTCTTGCTGCACTTGTTGTGGCCGTCCAGTTGTTTCTCCTCTTGAGCCTTTTAAGTTGATAGGTTTTCGTATGCAGATTGCAAGATTTTTCTTCTTGTACTTCGTCATCCCATGCCATTATGTACAGGTACAGTCAGCTTCAAACTAATGTCGTGTGTATTAGTTACACAGGATGTGTGTTCACAGATGGGTTGAATCCGGGTACGGGTAACCAATGTACCTGCATACCCATCTATTGACGAATAATGAAGCATAAATTTGTATACATGCTAAATCAGAGTAGTATGAAGAAAGATTCCACATGCGGGCTGAACATTGCATGTACCTTACTGTACGTTCTACTGTATTCTATGGTATATAGTTTGTTGTGTCACGGTGCAAAAAGGTAAACATCTGAAACCGATTTCAACCGTGTGGAACTGTCCCTAACATTTATCAAATTTCCCACCCTGTTCGAGAGTGCAGAAGTGTTGGCTAAAATGTTTGATAATGCAGTTTTGCTTTGCTAAGATACTGTAACAGAGATTCGCGCTAGTATCGGTAACGTCGCTTCCTCGACCATCTTCGTTGAAAGGCCCCAGGAGTTGGGGTTTCACAGCCGCCAAAGAAGTATGTGTGACCCACGTTATCTCACTCAGAGCCTCATGTCAATTAGCCATTCAGTCAACGCCATGTGGACCTTCCAAATGTCAAACCAGACCTATTCTTCCCGAGGCCGCACACTCATGAATCACCGCGGTGCCGCACGACCTCTCTACCCGCCTCACCACATGCAAAAGAAGGCTCCAAGGGTGACCCAACAAAAGAGTGCTGGAAGAAGGCTGCACGAGTGACCCAATTACAAGATATGTAACAAGCAACACTATTTTAAACGCCTCTGTAAACTGGGTTATTTTAAAAGAACGTGTAGGGTCTGAGCCCTGATTCAACAAATAGCGAAGTAGAGACTGGTTGTTTTCAGTGAGCAGTGGGGGGTTTTAGGATATCATTTCTGAAAACCCACGGTTTGGAGGAAGCGACGGAAAACCGCCTGAGGAGTCCTTCCTGCCCGTAGTTCGGCTGATGTAGAATTATCACGACTAGTTTCCCCCGAAATCCGCGGTCTGTGTGAACATGCCGTGCCCACAATCCCTCTCATTCCCCACCCCACCTCTCCCTCCAAAACCCCGCCGCACCCTTCCTCTCGTCGTCCCCACCCTCACCATTACTCCTGGGTTCATCTCACATCATTTTGTGTGCTTGCACTCAATTCTCTCTACTGGACCTACCCAAAAAGCCCTTTCTCTTCTCCCCTTTCCTCCACCCGAGCTGGTTTCGGGATTACCACGCACCACACCGCAACCGAACTAGGTCGATCGCTCTAACGTTCACACGCAATCGCCCGTTGAAATGGCTACCGTGGTCGGCACAGGCGGCGTGTGCGACTGTCAGTGCGAGCAGCGGTGCGAGTCGGTGTGCAAAAGAGGCGGTCCGGCGGGGTCTGGGCGGGTGCGGATGTGGTTCGAGGAGGAGATTGAGGAAAACCTGAGATGGGTCTTCGGCGTCACTAAGTACGTTTCCTTTCCACGTTTCCCTCCACGTGGCGTGCAATGCACGTCACATGCGCGCCGTCTGCTAGTAACAGCAACAGCCTTTAGCGGCTCGAGCATCGTCGGGCCTTTATCACTTTATTAGCGCCTGCTCCTGGTGTCCCGCCACGCCCCTCACCCGCGCAAGCGCCTGCATTAGCGCATTTTCGACTTTGGCCCCACGACCCGCTTACCGTCCAACTTCCTTCCCGCATCTCGCCCTACTGTACTGTCGTGTTCCGCCCTTCTGTAAACTCCCCTGCGTCTCCCGCGCGGAGTGAGTGCCATTGCCACTAACGAGAACCTCTCGGCTAACATACTCCCATGTCGATCCCTCTCTCTCGCCCCCCAGCATCCTCCACACGGGCGTGAGCGAGTTTCAAGACATCGAGCTTCTGGAGAGCGGGCCCTTCGGCAAGGTAAGCGGTGCATCTTACGACGTTCGCATCCGCGAGTCGTGGCGGCCCAACGTCGTCCACGGTCGGTCCGCGGTCTTTTGAATGTCTAGAAGAATGGTCAGCTGTCGCCCTCGTCTTTGCGTCTGCCCGCATTCTCCTCTCGTGCTTCCTCTTCCATCTCCCGGCCATCCGCCGATCCACTGTTTCCCCCCGCCCCCCCCGTACCCCCGGCTTCCGCCTCCTCCCGTTGACTATTTCACTCCCTCCCGGCCCCGCTCCTCCCTCCCCCTGCCACTCCGGCGCGGCGCCCGGCGGAGCAGGTGTTGGTGCTGGACGGCAAGCTGCAGAGCGCGGAGGCGGACGAGTTCGTGTACCACGAGTCGCTCGTGCACCCCGCGCTGCTCTACCACCCGCAGTACGTGCCGCGCGCGCGCTCGCCGCGCTGTCGCTGCTCGCTTGTGCGGCGCGCGTAGGTCTGTCATCGCTCCTGCCTGCTATCAGGCCACCATTAGCCAATCAACGAGTTCATGAAGAATGGCATGGCGTTTTGTTACTCCTTTTCCCTAAGCTTTTCGCGTACATTGTTTTTTTCCGGTCCGGAGCCCCAGCTGTCGGGTGTGGCGCGGGTTTAGGGTTTACCGCCTAGATGCTTTTTAGCGGGGATAGTGGGGTTGGGCGATCACACCGCACTGCAGTGGCGGATGATGCGATGAGTGGGAATCCGACCGTGACTGTCCCGAGTGATGGCGTCACCCTGAACCCGCTATCCGTCTCATCCTTAGCCTCTTACCGTTGCCTCTGCACGTGTGTGTGCGTCCATGGGTGCATGGTGGCCTATGTGTGCGCGTGCGGGGTGTGCTTGCATGGCAGGCCGAAGCGCGTGTTCATCATGGGGGGCGGGGAGGGGTCGACAGCGCGTGAGTGTCTAAAGCACAGCAGCGTGGAGATGCTCGAGATGTGCGACATCGACAAGGTCAGTCAGTCAGTCACGGTCAGTCAGTCAGTCACAGTCAGTCAGTCAGTCTCTGTCAGTCTGTCAGTCACGGCCAGTCAGTCAGTCACGGTCAGTCAGTCAGTCAGTCACGGTCAGTCAGTCAGTCACGGTCAGTCAGTCAGTCACGGTCAGTCAGTCAGTCACGGTCAGTCAGTCAGTCACGGTCAGTCAGTCAGTTACGGTCAGTCAGTCAGTCAGTCAGTCACGCCCGTTCGTGCCCACAATGTTACAAGCCTTTTGAAGTGATCGAATCCACAACAAATACCTCCCTCTCCTTCCTCCCCCCTCCTCCCACTCACGCTCTCCCCTCCCCCCGACCTCCGCCCCCACATCCTCTCCCCCCACAAACCCCCCCCCCCCGCCACCACCACATACACACAGCGTCATCCACGCACACTTCAACTCCCATTTCCTTTCTCGTCCTCCCTCAATCCGCTACTCCCCTCCCACCCCCCTCCTACCCCCCTCCCATCCCCCTCCCTCTTCTCGTTCTTGTTTTCTTGCCAGCCTCTCTTTCTCGTCCTCTCACCTTCCAACCTGCCTCCGCTGTTGCTCCACCCACTGTTGACCCCCCAGACCGCTTCCACCTTTCCCCTCCTCCCTCCGAACCCGTTCGTTCCTGGCCACGAGAGAATTAGCCGCCCTACCCGTCCATCCTCGTCTTGTCCTCATATTCCCTCTGTTCACCTTTCCTGCCCGTTCACCTGCCCGTTCACCTGCCCGTGCGGAGCCATGGCAGGAGGTGGTGGAGTTCTGTCGGCGCCATCTGACCATCAACCGCGACACCTTTGCGTCGCCGCGCCTCAAGCTCATTATCAACGATGCGCTGTCAGTCTTTCTCTCCCGCTCACCCTCTCTCCCTCCCACTCGAACACTAAGCCGCGCCTCAAGCTCATTATTAATGACGCGCTGTCAGTGCCTCCCGCTCGCCCGCCAGCCCGCCCGCCCGCTCGCTCGCTCGCTTTCTTGCTTGCTCTGCTCTGCTCGGCTCGCGTGCACCCGCCCTCCCTCCCACTCGCACACTCAGCCACACACACCCTCACACACACACCCTCACACACACTCACACACACAACACAACACAAACACAAACACACCCCACAACCCCACACACAGCCACACACCCACACACGCCCACACACCCTCTCACACCCCATATACACACACCCACACACCCACACCTCCCCACACACCCTCCCACACCCCCACACACCCTCCTTAAGAACCTCACCTCGCTTCACATGCTAAACTACAATCCCTATACCTTGCCACCGCCACTAACCTAACCGGTCAACCGCTTCTCGCCTCTCCATCACCCACTTCAACCGTGCAGCATCACTACATCTGTAAAAATTCGCGCATGTCACAGCATCCCCACACCCCCGGCCCCTTCCCTCCCTCTTTCTTCCACCCCCATTCCCCACCCCCATCATCTTACCCTTCCTAAACCCTTCCCATCCCTTCTCCTCCACACCGTACCCCACCCTTCGCCACCCCTCCTCCTCCTTCCTCCTTCCTCTTCCTCTCCTCCCCCTCTCCTCCCCCTCTCCTCCCCCCACCAGTGAGGAGCTGCAGAGCCGGACAGTGGAGGAGGGTTACGATGTGATAATAGGCGACCTGGCAGACCCAGTGGACGGCGGCCCCTGCTACAAGGCCCCATACTGCTGTCGCTTTCTCCCCCGCTTCCAATCCTCCCCCCCCCCCCCTCCTCCTCCCCTCCTCCTCCTCCTCCTCCACTCCTCCTCCGCCCGTCCTCCCCCCTCTTCCCCCATCTTCGTCCTACCCCCTTGCCCCCACCTCCTCCCCCCTACCAGTGAGGAGCTGCAGAGCCGAACAGCAGAGGAGGGGTACGACGTAATCATAGGAGACCTGGCTGACCCAGTGGACGGCGGCCCCTGCTACAAGCTCTACACTAAGTCCTTCTATACCTCGCTGCTCAAGCCGCGCCTCAACCCAGGCGGCATTCTCGTCACGCAGGCGGGACCTGCGGGGATCCTTTCGGCACGGGAGGTTTATACGCCGATTTACAACACGCTGCGCCAGGTGTTCAAGTGTGAGTGGCCGGCAGGAATTGGGGGTGTGGGTTGGTGGTGGATGGGAGCGTGGAGGGAGGGGGGGGGAGGGTCTGATTTGCGGGGATCTGAGTGATGGGGAGAGAGGGTGTGAGCTGGGATTTTTTTTTTTTTTTTGGGCAGATGCGAGTATGTGGTGGCGTGGGGGGGGGGGAGGTGCGATAAGGATCCGTGGGTGTGATGGCTTGTATGAGAGGGAGGGGGGGGGCTGTGTGTGCCAATGGCCGCATTATGGCTTTGTTGCTGCAGTGGTTCCCACTGGTGCTTATCCTGCCACCGCTGCCGCTGCTACCGCCAGTCATCACTCACACACAGATGCAGCAAGACTGAGTTTTTTGTGTGCTGATCCGTGCGTGCGTGTGTGAGCAGATGTGGTGCCTTATGCGGCGCATGTGCCATCATATGCTGACACATGGGGATGGATCATGGTAAGCCCTCCCACCCCACCCTTCTCACTCTCTCCCCCCATTTCACCCTGCCCCTTACCTTCCTCCATCCCATTTTCTTCCTATGGTTTGCTATTTTACTGTTACTTAGATGCATTGAGCCTTCTTATCCCGCCTTGCCTAACCCTTTTCTTCATAGTGCTGCAGTATCAACTTCCCAGGCTCTTCTGCGCACTCCTTACAGTCCATTATTGATAAAACAATCACTACTATCACATTATTCAACACCACTCGTCCCACCAGTACAATTGCAACATTTCCAACCACTACAACAGCTATCATAGATGTTGCATCCATTACAATTCCTGCCATCAGTGCTCCACCTACCCCACCTGTTACAAGCAAAACCCATCCCTTACTTACCTGTTACCGCAACCACCAATCATCACCGACCCTACCCTTCTCATCCCCCCCCTCTCCCCCATCCTTTTCCCCACCCGCCCACCCTCGCCCTCGTTCCCGCTGCAGGCGTCAGACACGCCGTTCCCGGAGATGGCAGCTGCTGACGTGGACGCGAGGATACAGCAGCGCGTGGACGGTGAGCTGCGCTTCCTGGATGGTTCCACCATGCTGGCTGTGGCCTCCCTCAACAAGCACCTGCGCAACCAGTGAGACTGGCAGAGTCACGCAGAGTCGGTCAGAGTCAAGTAGAGTCAAGCAGAGTTGATAAGAGTCGGGGAGAGTCAAGTGGAGTGGATCAGAGTTGATGAGTAATGAGTAGTCATTTGGAGTCAAGCTGAGTGATTCAATTAGATCCAGGTTTTAAGTTGGTTTCTGTGGATGGTGCTTTTCTTTTGTCCCTGTACTTGTGGCTTGTTTCTGCTGCCACTTGCGTGTAGCTTGCACCATTTCCATGCTTGAGTGCGGAATGGGTGGATTGTTATCGCAGGCATCGCTCTCATATTGAGTCCATTGGGCTGTTACGCGCATTTGACATTTTTTACCACCCTTTACATGACACTGCTTCTTTCCAGATGTGCAATGGAGACAACAGTGTACACTGAAGACTCCCCACTCTTTATCCATGGTTTGGGAACTCAGCAAACCCATGAAAAAAAAATAGATCAGTATGCTGCATGTTAGATGCAGAACTATCTCAAAGAGACTCCTATTTTAACATCTTTAGCTGCAACATATGACCTGTGGCATGTATGCAAATGGAAGTTATATGCCTGCTGTGTTATCTAGCGCTAGAGTTCAGGTTGTGTTCAATGTCCATGCTTGAGTAAGATGATGTGCAATTGAGTAAGGATAAGTAAGTTAAGCTGATTCAAACTGCTGCTCACCTGTACAAACACACTGATCAATGGACTTCACCTTATGGTCTTCCTTCCGCGTCATTTAGCCAAATCCTGAAGTGGCCCAGTCAAGTAGATGGGACTTCCGAAGGATGAGGTTCTGGGTTCAAACCCCAGTGCCGGCGAGTCCTGCCAGCCCCCCAGAAGGGGGTTTCGCACTGCTCATCTGGAAGTGGATATACCTTACCTCGATACCCAGCGAGGCGTGTAAATAAGTGGGTAGGCGGATTACGAACGACAGCCGGGGAAACCAAAGGGAGTTTCCCCTTAAACCTTACCTTACCTCGTTATTCAGCCAAGTAGCGGGTGGCAAGATGTCCTCATTTGGACGCAGGGTGAACTCGGAAGAAAACCCATTGTGTAGCAGGGGCTGTCTCAAAACACCCGGGAGTCCAGGGTAACCAGGTCTGCTGGTGATTTTTTTGGGTTGCGTAGCAACCTTATACATTCGTTTTCACTTTCCGGTTGGCTGACGTGAACAGTGAATTTCTCCCATCAATTTTGAAAGAAATCACTGTTCACGTAACTTCCCCGAAAAAATGAAAACAAATGTTTCCAACAATTCCATAATCGTCGATAAGTACGGCGAATGGAACAATTGGACAATCGTTCTAGCATAAATAACGATACGAAATGACCCACGAACACAAAAGACAACACAGAAAATGCGTACAACTGTACCACCGAAAGACACACACATACACAAATGACCACAAAATCGATGGTGTACAAGAACCGTCGTACATGTTTTGAGGGGAATACAAAATGCATCAATGCAGCAACTGAGATTGATATGGTACGGAAGAGGCGAGCAAAGCTGCCCCACCGACGATCACAATCCCAGTTGCATATAGAGGCACTTAGCACCACACCCCCAAAACAAGCACAGACGAAAACGCATAAATAACTCATAAATGATTACAAAAACAGAAGACAATGTTTAGGAATGTTTTGAAGCAAATGCTAAATGCATCAATGCTGCAACTGTGATTGATATGGTACGGAAGAGGCGAGAAAAGCTGCCCCACCGACGATCACAACCCCAGTTGCATACACGAGGCACTTAGCACTATACTCCGAAACAAGCACAGACGGGTACCACGCAAACTTGTACAAAAACATAGAACAATTATTGTGATTGTGAATGCCCTGAAGCAAATGCTAAATGCATCAATGCTGCAACTGTGATTGATATGGTACGGAAGAGGCGAGCAAAGCTGCCCCACCGACGATCACAACCCCAGTTGCATACACGAGGCACTTAGCACTATACTCCGAAACAAGCACAGACGGGTACCACGCAAACTTGTACAAAAACATAGAACAATTATTGTGATTGTGAATGCCCTGAAGCAAATGCTAAATGCATCAATGCTGCAGCTGTGATTGATATGGTACGGAAGAGGCGAGCAAAGCTGCCCCACCGACGATCACAACCCCAGTTGCATACACGAGGCACTTAGCACTATACTCCGAAACAAGCACAGACGGGTACCACGCAAACTTGTACAAAAACATAGAACAATTATTGTGATTGTGAATGCCCTGAAGCAAATGCTAAATGCATCAATGCTGCAACTGTGATTGATATGGTACGAAAGAGTCGAGCAAAGCTGCCCCACCGACGATCACAACCCCAGTTGCTTACACGAGGCACTTAGCATTATACCCCGAAACAGACACGAACACCACATCCCAAAATAGACACATGCACATGTGTGCTACAAACAAAACAAGGAAAAAAAAGACATAAAAAAAAAAAAACATAACAAGTAGGAATAACCACTGACACAACACTATAGACACATGGACGTAACTGACACAAACACCACGCAAGCACAATTGTTATTATAACATGACAACACACTCATTTCTAACGAGACGTAGAATTCACGCACAACGTACTTGTTAGAATATATCTGTAACTGCATGTAGCTGTAGTTAGTGTAGTTATTATAAACTTGTTGGTGGTGCACCTTCTTTGCATGCTTTGTTTGCTATTTGTACCTCGCTCAATAGTGAACGCACCCCCTCCTTTTGGCTAAACTCTCTCGACTCCCTTTGGCCTAGGCCACTAAGCCTAGGCCCTACCCTTACTGTTCAACATGGTACTCAGAGCAGGCACCTTCCTGCTGCCTTCCTTAACGGGCCCACCAAGTCTTCCGCTGCTGTCCTGCCTATCGCGCTCTATGGGCGCGCGGCGGTTTTCTGCCCGTCGCGCCGCCCTGCTGAACGCGCGACGCCCTGCCTGCCCGTCGTGCGCCCCGAGGTGCGCGACGGTGCCCTGCCTGCCTGCCCGTCGTGCGCCCCGAGGTGCGCGACGGTGCCCTGCCTGCCTGCCCGTCGTGCGCCCCGTGGCGCTCGACGGTGCCCTGCCTGCCTGCCCGTCGTGCACCCCGTGGCGCGCGACGGTGCCCTGCCCGTCGTGCGCCCCGAGGCGTGCGGCGGTTTCGTCGCCTGTCGGGCGCACCGGGGGCCCGCGCACCCCCCCCCCCCACCCCTCTGCCTTTTCCCGTCGCCTGTCGAGGCGACCCGGGGGGCCGCGGGGGGGGCCGCGCGTCGCCCCTTCTGTCGCCCGTCACGGCGCCCTGGGGGGCCGCGCGTCGGCCCCTCCCGTCTTCGTCGCGGCCCTGCCCTGCCCTGTCGTCCTGCCCCGGCCCTGTCCCGGCCCTGCCCTGCTGCCGCCCCTGCTACGACCCTGCCCTGTGTTGGGGTTTGGGGGTGGTGAGGGTGGTTTGTTTCCCTTCCCCTCCTCCTCCTCTCGTTCCCACTGCTGCAGCTGCCGCTGGGGGGGAGGGTGTGAGGGTGTGGGGGAGCCAGGGGAGTGGCATTGGGGCGGCGGGTGTGAGACCAACCAGCCCCCCCCCCCCCCCCCCCCCCCCCCCCCCTTCTTCGTCTCCCACTGCTACAGCTGCTGCTGAGGGGGGTGGTGTGAAGAAAGAAACAGGAATGAATGAACTAGGAAAGTGTGAGATACAAATATGAAAGCTGTACCCCTTAGTGTCTACCCCACTACAGCCTACATAGGCTAAGGCATATACATCTGACACACCCCCATAGGCAAAGTGGGGGAGAACTAGGGGTCATAAGACCAGTCAAGCAAAGCAAAGCAAAGCAAGCTCAGGGTGGAGCACAACGTCACCACACAGTCTGAGCACAGGTTCAAAGGCCACAAGGCCAGTTCACATGCAAGTTCATATATGAAGGTAAACAAGCAAGTGCAGGTATATCTAGATCACAGAACAAGCAAAGTCAAGAGGTAAGCAAGTGAGGCCAAGTAGGCACAAGACCTAGCATAGTACAGAAGCGCTGATGATCACAAGGCTGAAGTGCCTTGGTAAAGATATCAGCAGTGTTGGCCTGAGAGGCCACGTAAGCAAGGCGCAGCTGGCCACGCTGCTGCAGCTCACGAGCAAGGAAGTAGCGAAGAGCAATGTGCTTCGTTCTGTGCTCCAGTCTGTGCTCCCCACACAAGGCCAGCATGGCCTTGTTGTCTACGTACAGAACTGGAGGAGAACGAGGCGGCTCTCCCAGGTCAGTCAGCAAGTAGGTGAGCCAGCGTAACTCCTGTGCAGCCATGGCCCCTGCGTAGATCTCAGCCTCACAGCTGGAGCTGAGAACAGAAGACGAGCGGGTAGACCGCCACGAAACAGAGCCGGAACCAAGGCTGAAGGTGTAACCCTGTGACGACCGCTGTGTAGCCAGGTCGTCCACCCAAGACGCGTCTGCGTGACCAGTGAGGACCACTGGACTCCGCCCTCCAAGCACTAGCCCCAAGCCCGAAGTACTGCACAAGTAGCGCAACACCCTCTTCGCTGCAGCCATGTGCTCTGGTCGGTGTCTCCCAGGAGCAACATAGCGCGCCAGAATGCTCAGAGGGTATGCTAGGTCAGGTCGAGTGCAGGTCATCAGGTACATGAGGCAGCCAACAAGCTCTGGGTACGGGCCACTCGGCTCTACGGACTCATCCGAAGGCAGAGCTGAGAGCGAGCGGTGAGTAGACAGAGGAGTGGTCTGAGGCGAGGAGTACGTGAAGTCGAAGCGCTGAAGGACCTGCTGCACCATGTGTGACTGAGTCAGGGTGATGGTGCGCCGTGCTCTGTCCCGGGTGATCTGCAAGCCAAGATAGCTGCGCAGTTCACCCAGGTCTGTGCACGTGTGTCTCTTCTGCAGCTCGGACTTCACGTGGGCGAGTCCAGCAGTGTCAGCTGTAGCAAACACCAAGTCGTCGACGTACACGAGGATGTAGAACGGCGGCAGTAAGGTGTCGGTGCGAAGAAACAGCGACGGGTCAGCAGTGGAAGGAGCAAACCCAAGAGCCGCAAGCGTAAACCTCAGTGTGTCGCGCCACTCACGTGACGCCTGGCGGAGACCGTAGACTGGCCGCCGGAGGCTCCACTGGGTACCAGCAGGAAACGACCCAGTCAAGCCAGGTGGGCGGCGCAGCCAGATCTCCTCGTGCAGACTGCCCTGTAGGAAAGCAGTGCTGAAGTCAAGGGAGTGAAGCTCGTAGTCACGCTGAGCAGCAACGTGCAGCAGAACCCGAAGAGTGGTCATCTTCGGGGTCGGGGAGAAGGTCTGAAAGTAGTCAACTCCCTGCCGCTGACTGAAGCCTCGAGCCACGTAACGCGCCTTGAAGACAGGCGGAGAACCCGGCGGCCGCTTCACCCTGAAGATCCACATGCCACTGACGATGTTCGCCCCAGGTGGGGGAACCTCGTCGACGTAGGTGCCTGTGGACTTCCAGGAAGCCATCTCTGCGTCCATGGCTGCCTGCCACTGAGAGGAGTAAGGACCCTCTATCGCCTCTGCGTAAGAGCGCGGGGTCGGGATGTCTGGTGCATCCGGGTCTCCCTCAGGGGCAAGCAGTGTGGACACGAGATGAGGTAAAGCAGCAGCAAAACACTGGAACTCCTCCTGTCGGTCCTCAA